AGGTCGTTGTAAACTTCCGCTCGGTCCTCATCCATGGCCAGGTAGGCTTCCAGCGCCTGGCCAGACAGCAGTGGAACTAGATGATAACTCCACTCGTCCTCTGGCCACCTCCAGGTTCTGGCGAGACGCTCGAAACGGCACAAGAAGTTCTCAACGTCCTCCCCCTGCTGGAGGACTGGCAACCTCGGCTCCGTCCGTGTCGTCGGCTGGCGGTAATCCCCCATGTCGGTCGGTGAGTCTCGATCTCTCTGACCAGCTGTGCTTCTACGCTGACCTGGCATTGGAAGCTCCATCCGTGTACTTTCAGCCTCACTCGCCGCCTCAGCTGGCCGGACAGCTTGCAGAATCGACTCCCTCAGACTCCGTAGCTCCTTGACATACCGTTGCTCTCTCTGCTCCTGTGCACTCAGGAAGTTGCGCATCACTGCAAACATCCCACCACTAGATGTTGGAGCAGAAGAGCCGGACTCTCAAGGTGGTGTGGACTTGGGACGAACTGGTGGGGGATTCTCCTCTCCCTCCTCCTCTGTAGATTCAGCAGTGTCCCAGGTCACATCCGACTCAGCGATAGCCTTGGTCTGGGACCGAAGCCCCACCCTAGGCTTCCTGCCTCTCTGCGCTGTTTTGCGAGTAGCCATCCCACTTCTGACACCAAATGTGAGACAACGGGTCTTCGCAGGCCCGCTGTCAGGCGAAACCGGGTTTGCCCAAAAAAAAAAAAAATAATCCCAAAAAAATATGGCAATACTCGCAGAGATGTAAGGTGTAAAGTGATGTTTATTTACAGTGCTAGAGAGGTGAAACAGTCCCCGTAGACAAACGACCAAAAGCTATATACAAAAGTAACAAAGAAAAATCAAATAACAAACAAAACAAAAAAAAAACTTATACTCTAAATCTGACAAAAATACTATTATAAACTAGGTTAATGGATAATTCAGTAGCAAAAGTTAGTCTAGAAAAATCATGAGTGCACATGTTATAATTTTATAAAATCCTAAGCGTGTTTGAAAGTCTTGCCTGTTTCACAGCTGGAAGAGATCTGCCTGCATTCCCATTAGGCTGTGCAGACCCAGGGGGCAGCGATAGCCCTCCCCAGCTGTCCTGAGCATTGTGGGAAAGCCTGAGCCTCTTCTAGTGTAGTGCCAGAAAAGATTCAGCCCCTAAAGCACAGCTTGAATGCCAGTAACCAAGCATGCTAACTAGCATGACCGCTAACCACTCAGAGACTGAATATCATACAAAGAGTAAACTTACAGAAAAGAAGCAAAGAAAGAAGGGAAGCCGAAGGAAAGGAGGACAGGAAAGGATGTGATCGCTAGAGATTACGCAGCCCTTCCAAAACTTCCAAAACAGATAATGACTACCAAGCAATCATTTTTCTTTTCACATACTCCAAAGACATGCGTTTTTACCCCTTGAACGATATTAGCCCTCTTCCCTGAGTGTTATGATGCCCCTGCTCGTAATGAGCAAGGCAGCTGTGTTTGTTTTCCAGCAGTGCATGCTCACACAGGGCTGGGTAAGAATTGTTTTTCCTTCTCTGCCCTCGGTGAGGCTGGAAGACTCACAGCTGCAACTAAAGACTGGGGAAAAGTGGAGAAAGTGAACAAGAATGAGCAACTGCAGGTGAAAACCAAAGAAGACAGAAAGAAGTGAAGAGAGAGAGAGAGCAAGACATAAAGAGGTCGAGAAAAAGTACAGCTTTTAGCTCTTCCAAAGTAACTCGTCCTGACAGCAGCAGTGGGGCTGAAGACAACTGTCTGGCTTTGACAGATCCCTAACCAGGAACAGATCCTACATGAAACTCTCTCCCTCTTCCTCTTGCGTTTGGAGGTCAGGCCCCACCAGGAGAGGCCCTGGGGTCAGAGGTCAAAGTTCAGTCAAAGTGTTCACAGGAAGTGCATCCGCTATACAGGCTCTGGTTGTAGCCCTTTTGCAGAGCTCAGTTTAATGGGCCAGGCGGTCACTAGGGAGATCTGCTGTTTCCCGTACTGTACAGGAACCTCCCTGCCACTTCACTCTTTGTAGGTTGGTGACTCATAAAGGAGATTTAGTTCCTCTGATTTCTGTTCTGCATGCACATTTGTGTAGGTGTGTGTAAGTGCATGGCTGCGTGCAAGCATCTGGGTTTCTATGCCAAGAAGATCAGTTTGAAAACAAAAGATTGAGCTTATCTTTGAGTACTTCTAGTTAAATTTCCATTAACAGTTTTGGCTTCCAAGACTAGACAAGTCTTTAATATATACAGTACTGATTAGGGATAACCATCTAAAAGTAAACATTTAACAATACCAGTATTTCTGTAGTATTGGTATCACTGAGTACTCAATACCAATTTGAGTGTTATCTCTGTGAATGCAGCTGCACGTGTGAATTAACAAATGTGCATCTTGGTTAAACAGCTTGCCTTATTTGGCTTGAGTTATAAATGTATACACAGATAGTGACTGTTAAAAGGTGATACAAGCCTGGAATATGTTTTAAAATGTCATATTCACGCACCTTGCAGGGTCCTAATGTATTTCCACTGACCTTTCACTGTATATTATGCACTATCCAAAAAAAAAAAAAAGGTCACGGGGGCAATACCCTTTCAGAAGGTACTACTATGTTCCTTTTAATAATGATATACCTTTATTGTACTAATATGCAATCTTTAGGGGTAAATAAGGTACTAAGATGTACCTTTCGAAAGAGTACTACCCCAGTGACTTGATTTATTTTTTTTTTTTCTTAATCAACAACAATATTGACAAGCATAATTTACTGCTATTTACATAAATAATAAACACTTTGAAAAAAAATGAAAATATGTTTACATTATACTGTGTATGTGTTAATTTATTTGTTTGTTTGTCTGTTCATCAAAGGTCAGTTCAATTTATTTCATTATTTATTACTATTTGCATAGAAAATAAATAATACATTCTTCAAAAATGTCAAAACTATGTTTACATTACACTATTTAATTATTTATTATTTACATTGCACTATTTAATTATTTATTAGATTTTAACTAAAGGTCAGTTCAGTTTATTTCATTGCTCTTTATTACTATTTACATAGTAAATAAATAATACATAATTTGAAACAAAAATTTGTTTACGTTACACTTTTTTTTTTACTTTATTACAAAATTTCAACAAATATGTTTACATTATGTATGCATGTATGTTTGTCTGTTTGCTTATCAAAGGCCAGTTAGGTTTATTTCATTGTTCTCTATTACTATTTACAAATGATACTACTTCAAAAACGTCAAAACTATGTTTACAGTACACTATTTATTTATTTAAATTAAAGTTTAGTTATGTTTATTTCTTAAAAGAAAAACTAAAAAAAAACACTGCAAAACATTGTTTACAATACACTTTGTTTATTATTCATTTAAAGTTTATTATTATTTTATTTTTTAAATAAAGGTTCAGTATCACAGTAAGTTTGCTGTGTTTTCTAAATTGAAACCAAATGTCAAAATCATGAAACTTCACAATTGTATCGACTACTGAAATTTTAGTCATAACAAACTTATTACTATTCACGTCATATCTGAATAAACATAACAAGTGTTGACAAATCCACAACAATTTTTACATGGATACCAACCACCGAAAACACATTTTTAAACTTCCATCAATCGATTTATGGGTTGCGGGGATGCTGGAGCCTAACATCTTGGACCGTAGGCAGGGAAACACCCTGGATGGATTGCCAGTCCATTACAGGGATTCTAAAAACTTGCAACACAAAATTAATTCCACACCTGATTCACACCCCCTCAAACTATTGATTCAAATCTTGTTTGACGAAGCCCACACATTCACCCTTCAACAGCAGCTCTCTTTCTCGCCCACTTTGTGTTCCTAAAGACAATCCACAACAACAACCACCCAGAGGTGAACCTTGCAGAGCTACAGCTGCCTCACTGGGTCATTCAAGCTCCACAGCGAGAGGAAAGTTTGCTTATTTTATTGACATTTCAGGTGAAGAAATGCTTCCAAAAACACGAGACCCAGTGACCCCCAAACTTCCTCACCATGCAACTGCAGCACAAAGCTCATCCGGTGCAGACGCGACAGACACCAGACACTGATCAATACTCTGGAGGAACTCTCAGGTGCGGTTTCTGTTCTGCGGTGCAGAGGATGCTGTATATTTATAGCTACTTAAATAGTATTTAACTTTAATAGTACTGTGGTTTCTTTGAATGATGTCTAATTATTTTTCAGAGCTTTGAAGGCCTGATTGACTTGGCTAGGAATATCATGTCACATACTTGAGAGGGAAAATCATCCATGCCAAATCAGACCAACAGATGCAACCAAGCTCTAGTTCCTTACTGGTCTACAACAAAGCTACTGTTCTTCTGTGCAATTCTTGTATGTACGTTTATCATGTATTGTTGTATCAACAAATTTTGAAGCAGTTCTTACAAAAGTAGAAAACAAACAGACAGAGAGAGCAAGAAAAGGGAAGTAAATGCAATCCTGGAGTCTTTCATAAATACCCATAAGAAAAACAAACCCATTATATAGCATTTATGTAACATTCATAAATGAAATCAGCCCTTATATGACATGAAACAAATAGGAAGAGAACATGCAGCAAAGAATGCAATACTGTAAACACTGTATAAATTCATCAATAATATACTTGAGTAAAATAAATAATACAAATAAGTCAACAGCAATAAAAGTTATAAAGAACTACCAAACAATCTAATATTTCTGTCACACTAATAAGAACTCTTAATCTATTCAATATGAGCTTTTACATTTTACTTATTAAATGTACTAATTGGTTAACACTGAAACTCTAAATAGTCATAACACATTGAATTTTTTTATTTATTTTTATTCATAAAATAAAAACTTAAGGAGCTCTTATTTACAATTTTAACTGGCTTTTAAATGACAGCTGACAGGTCCATAGTTTAACAAACTAGCAGTCTAAGTAGTGATAAACTGAAAAAAAAAAAAACATTAGACATTACTGACCTTGTTTATTAACCTCAGCAATTGACAGTGAGAACCACTATCCTTACAGCGTCCCTCTGCCTCCCTCTTTTCTGTCTTGTTTTCCTCTGTCGCACTTTCTGATGTGACCCCCTTCTCTCTCTCTGTCTCTCCTCCGCCGCCGTGTGTTTCTCAGGAGGAAATGAATGGATGGCTCACACGGTGTTGTTCTACTCACAGAGCTCAGGTCACATGACCAGGCTGAATGAAGAGAGGGGGTGGACCCTCGGGCTGCCAGGCGAGAGGACAAGGAATGTGTGTGTGTGTTTGTGTG